CTGCACCGACAGCCATGCCGCTCAAATCTGGCTGAGTAGAACGGGGGACGAGGAAAGGCCTCTGTCCACTGCCAAAGCTGCCAGCTGAAAACCACCACCATGAGCAGCGGTGGTGGGAGGTGTCACCAGTTACGGGGCTCGTTCCGAACTACCCGGAGCCCTGGCAGGAGCAGCGAGTTCACAGGGCCCCAGCAACGACACCTTTAGCCCTCAGTTATCCTTGGGTCTTGTGTAAGGGCATGGGGAAGAGATGCTACCTCTTTCAGCTCATCTATTTTGAGGTTTAGAGTTAGCTAACGTGAAAATTAACTCTGAAGATACGTTTGTGAATGACACACTTGAGAGATCCGTGTTCAATAGCTGGGTTTTCCTTTTTAAAGAAAGTATTAAGAAGCTACTAACAACCCTATGGAGAACTTTTATCCTCTCATACTCCGTAAGATGTTGCGCTTTGGGCGAGCACACGTGCTGTACCTCAGGAGATGGTGTAAGGTCAGAACTACTGGTGGAGACGTTGCTCCACGGGACAGTGACTTGCTCCAAAAAGGACGCAGCAGCAGCAGCGGCACAGCACTTCCTTTCCCAGGATCCTGGTTCCCCGTATTTAGAAACGCAGGTAAGAATGGAAGGTCCCACTCATGGCTGGAGCAGCCTGGGGAAAGCATTAAGAAGTCAGCGTCTCCCCTCGGGCCCCGCCAGCCCTGCGGCTGTACCAGACTGAAGCACAACCAGCGTCTGGCTGCCAGGAAAGCACGGTGTTCCTCTGGGCAGCTTTCCCGTACGCAAGACTTGTTTGTACTAGGCAAGTGCCTTAGATGGTGAATACCACCTCTGGGAGTAAAGGATCTTTTGGTTGGTTTACCCTGAAAAATAGAAGCAAGTTTAGCCCTGGCAGTAGCTTCACTGGCTTTGGTGTACGCCAATACTCACGTGTCCGTTCCCTCCCTCCCTTCTAGCTGCCTTCCTTGCCAGCCTTCGGTATCCTCCAGAAGGGCAAGCCCAGGTCAATTTGCCAGGCTGTTTTGGTAAGAAGCAGCTGGTATTTCAATAATTACTTTTCTTCAGGTGCTCGGAAAGCCAGTGGCTTTAGCAGTTACTATCTATCTCAATTGGCAAATGGCACCATTAATTCAACTAACAAATTTTGCCCTTTATTTAAAACAGTGGAAGAAATTTATTGTAACTGAAAATAGCTCCTGAGCTCCTGCTCCACATCTGAGTTGAAGGTAACTTTCAAGATTACCTCTACTTTATAGTTTTTTGCCAGCTTGCCTTCTAGAACCACCCAACATCTCTCTCCCTTCATGTAGGCGAACTTCAGAAACTATTTTTGGGAAAGGAGGGCAACAATAATAATTAAAAAAAAAAATCCACATTCACAGGAGTTGCATATTTGTTGTACTGATATATTCCAGGCTTGTGTGGTTTTTACATTTATATAGTTTACATTTTGCTTGACCCATAAATAACACTTGCAAGATTAAGAGGGCCATAGTTTAGAGAGTATTTACATAGCCCCACCATGCATACAGAGCTCTTAATACCTAGCAGACAAAACTAAGCTGTTTTGCACTAAACATTTTTCAACTTAAAACCCCTGACTAAGATACAAGCAATAGTTCATCCATAATGCTGCTGTTAAACCCCTAACAAATCTAGTTTGATATCGTAACAAACTTCTTCAAATTCAGGGATATAAAAATACTCAGCTTTTAAAATTTTAACTGTACAATATGTACATTAGTATTTGCACTGTTAAATTATGAATACATTTAAGCCTATGAAATACTACATTATAAATATCAATGGTTTTTGATTTAGAATTGCAGCTAATACATTTTAAAACCTGGATAATGCATTTGAAAAGACACAGTTTTGGAGCCTAATCCTTTAAGCCCTTATGAAAGTATCTGTTACGCAAGTCGATCCACGGGCTCAAAGGGGGTCGCACGCCTGAGCAAAGGGCTCCGGCCCTCGTGCCGCCCGCTCGCGCTGCTGGAGGGTGGGCGGCCCGGCAGAGAAACCATCACCGCTCCTTGGCAGCTACGGCCAATTCCAGCAGCTGAACTAATACCTTCCTTTCAACAGGCACCAAAATAAAAAGAACCCTTACAGAGGGATGGAATTCTTAAAAAACTGTGGAGGGAAAAACATGAAAGTTAAACGTATAAACCGTTTACTGCTGCTTTAGGATACGTCAAGGCCTCAAGCATTTCAGCTCCCACATTCTGACTTTTGCCTACTTAACAGTGGACTCTTTGGAAAAGGTGTGTTTTCCCAAATAAAAAAAAAAAATAATTCCAGTTTTTGTAAGAAGACTTGAAGAAGGAAGAATGAGCTTTGTCGGCAAAGAAAGGGCACAGCATAGAGCCTTCTTTTTCTTGGCGGTAAGAGGAGAAAGTCAAAGATCACCCTGTGTGGATAGAGCTACAGCACAGGACTGACAATTTTATTTATTGATCTTTGCTGAATCCCCTCTCTCTCAGATAATTCAACATGGTGAAGAGCGAACATTAACTAAAAAAAAAGGTCTACAAAAAGTCTGTGTCAAGAACTGCAGTAACAACAGTATTTTGACAGCTGAAAGAGTATGTAAACCCAGCAATATCTGAGCAGATCATCATTTGGCATGGTGATGTTTCTGAATGTAAACTCTGGCAGGGTTATCATTTCCACTGGCAAAGCATTAAGAACCTTAGCAACTTGCCTAAGTACAATTATTAATATAAAAAGATGTGGTTCAAACTGTAACTACAGAGTTGACTGGTCTTCCCAACTGTTAAAACAAATTAAGAAATGATGCAATTTTTTCCTTTGTGTCCCCTCTTCTTCTTTGATTTGGTTGTCCTTTGTCCAAACTGAGAACTAGATAACGCAGTAGTTGGACCAGAAAGGTCATCTGTATAGTACGGGTATCTTAGTGATCGTGGCTGTGGAATTGGCTGTCCTAGAAAATATCCTTCCTCTTCAGAATCGGATGAGGAGGATGAAGTTGAACACCAGGAGTCATCATCTTCACCATACAATCCAAAAAATTTATCAACAACCTGATTCCGCAGTGCATAATCAGACCTAGTGTGGGCATATTGTCCATACAGCTCTGCATCTTGAATATACGCCCGAATCTCACGTGAGCTTCTATTTTGAATAAATTTTTCGTGATCCTGAGGGGAGTAATAACGAAATCTCTCTCTTGGAGAGCATCTTCTTTCTGTGGCCAAGTTAAGTGCATTATCTGAACGAGACTTCCTGCTTCTTCGACGATGATGAGAAGGCCGATTTCCACGCTCTTCAAAATGGTAAACGCGCCTACGAGTCCTCTCGCTCATCGGAGGCTGACGTATTTCAAGATTCTCATAACTTCCATTATCAATAACATCATCTGAAAACTTCACTTGCTGTGGTCGAGACTGGGATTTAGATCTTCTCAGTACAGGCATGTGCACTGGCTTTTCCTCTGGTAAGACCTTTTCCGGACACAACTCTGAGCTCAGACTCTTCAAGGACTCTGTGCTCCGGTGGAGCATTGAAGAATTCAGCGTTCCCATGTTGCTCATCTTCTCACAGTCCTCCACCTCCAGTTCTTGGAAAGTTTGCAAAGAGTAGAGGGATGGCCGTGGCTTGCCTTCTCCATCCATTGAAGCCCCTGTGGTGGGAATGGAGAGAGGAGGAAAAGGAAAATGAGAGAACTATCAAAGAAATAAGTATTATAACAAAATATTAAACATTTCTTTTCAGTAAAGCAGACCTTATTTGTGGGTTTTGGAACTATTACCAAAAGGAGTAGCTTCACAGAAGAATAAGCTTTGTTTTGACTTAAAACATTTAAGTATTAGCTCCAATTACGAAAGAATTAGCTAACATTAGGACATCAAGAGCAGAAGAGGTTTAACGAGTTTAAGATTTTTAAACAGCTCCAACACACATACAGCTAAGCCTCTAAGAAAAAAGAATTACTTAAAATTATTCTACAGTCCACGTTTGCTGTTATTAAGGCTAAAATATTTCACATTTCTGGTATTGCCAAATTCAATATTCCAGCTGCTGCTACAGGAAAGCCAGGCTTACTGCCTCGCAAAGCAGGATCCTTGCCCTCCAAAACCCACCAGCAGTAAGCTGGCCTGGTTTACTCCAGGTTTGTGTGCAACGACCCTTCATTCCCACAGCAGCAGTGTCGTCTGCCCTGTGACATTCCCAGGCACACCACCTCTACTTCCTCTTCCTCCTCCTCCTCCCGCACCCCCTGAACCAAGCTCCCTTCATCAGTCCCTTTGTAACCGCCTGGGCAACGCAGCGTGCGGCCGGGCCTGAGCTTCGCGAGTAGCTACAGTAATTCAGGTGACTGGAGAAGAGGACAGGACAACTTTTTAAATGGGTCTCCCATACCTAACCCCCAGGTTTGGGTTTTTTTGCAGGGAAGTAGGAAAGGAAGGTTACACACATGCACGCAGAGACAGACACTTCCATATCTGACTTTTATCCCTTTGGGTAATTTCAATCACGTTTGACAAGGAGATTCACAAAAGTGGATTATCAGTTTCTCTTTAGTCAATGCAGAAAGATAATCTCATAAACCTCACTTCCCAAGGCTAAGAAGTCTACCATCCTTTCCGATTTTCTACATACTTTTACAAGCAAATCAGGGAACTACCTAAAGTCTTTTGCAGATTATCTTTAATATTATCCTAGTCTGTAATGCACTTTCTTGTACTTAAGGCATGGAAAAAAATAAATCTTCATTTGCTTAAAGCGGTGGTTTGTATATAACAAATGCATAGTTCAAGATCGTTCTTACTCTCTTTAACATTACGGATTTTTTTTGTTATAACCAAAGGAAAGAACATTCAAAAGGAAAGGAGAAGAATTTAAATAGGATTCAAGTAGCAGAAATGTATCTTGTGGAAGAATACGTGCTCGATAAAAGCCGTTGCCTACTTTACATGCAGCTCTTGCTACTAAAGCTTTTTAGACATCACAGGTATGAAAAGCCTTAGTTCAAAATACTCCAACACGCATGCTTTGCTTGACTTCTCCATCAAAACCATTCCTTTTTTCCCCCATTACCTGTTATGTTAGACAAAGCCAAAGAATCCATTGAGTCTCGAACACTTTGCTCTTGCTGTTTGAGGTCAGACAAACATTCGAGTGAACCTCCATACCACGGCGTTTGGTCGTGTTTGTATCCTGATGCCCCATGTTCCATGTCTAGCTCCTGGATTTTCCTGCTGCTCGCAGGGCCTGGGTGGCTGCCGTACGCGGAGTCACCCAAGCCATCTTGTGACTGGGCCCAGTACATGTCTGGCTGATACTTCTTACTTGCCAGGCTTGGATTATTTTTTTTCAAGTCCAACTTGCTCTTGACCATGCTATCAGAAATCCAGTGTTCACTCGACCTAATGTCTATGTCAGCAGGCTGCTGGAAGAGGCTTTTATCACCAAACTTCAGAAGAAGTTGAGTCATGTAGTCTTCATGTTCAGCCCATTCTTCAGGGTCTTCAGGCATTTCTTGCTCTACTCTTCCTTTCCAGAAGTCTTCATTAACAAAGCTCGCCTCTTCCCTTGAAAGGCTTAAGTCATCCAGCTTACGAGAAAGAGTATCATCGGCGTTGCCCGAGAGGCCAGGAAATTTGTAATTGAGGGCCGGTGACAGGAGGAGAGACTGGCGGCACTGGTCGGCCGACCGGCTGCTTTTTCCCATGCGGACACTCCTCCTGGAATCTCTGGATCGAGCAGACTGAAATGCAGAATCAGAAGAGTCGGAGGCATGAACATCCTCTCCCAGGCTGCAGGTTTTCGAACAGTAAATCTGCCCTTGCTTTGGAAGGAAAGGGCAGCCAAGCAAAGAGGTCTTGCACTGAGCACAAGAAAAGCAAGTCTCTGTGGCGTGCCAGTGCTGTCCATCATAGGTCATCTGAGCATGGTCAACACCTGGAAAGGGAGAAAAAAACAATACTTTGGGTTTCTCTAAAAAATTACTTGCAGAATCCACGCTTCTGGAAGGTGAAACGATCTCATAAATCGGCTTTCCTTTACTTTGCAAGTTTAATGCTGAAAACCGACACACTTACCAATGTGTTCCCCGCAGGTCTCACAGTATTCCGCATACAGAGATTCAAAACAGTTGCAGCAGAACGGTCGCCCATCCTTCATGATGTATCTCTGGCCACCCAGGATTGTTTCACACTCGAGGCAACAGAAGTGCTTCATGTGCCAGTGGCGACCCTCAGCTTCTGTACACTCATCAGCAAATATGATCTTTTCAGAGATAAAAAGTAAACTTTTAGTTAAGTGGCCAAAACTTTACCTTGGGAGTTACAGCATGCAAAATATCCTAATTGTGCAGTTCAGACGCTAAATCTATTTCTATCTAGCTGCCTTTTGAATACAAAGATAGAAACAACAAACTCCCATGGCAACTGTGGCATTCTGGCCTTTTCTGTAACAAAAAAACCACCCAACTGTACGTTTTAAAGCCAAAAAAACCCAAAACATAACCATTAAAGAAGCTGCTATCAGGATGGTATTTTGGAATATTTGTAAAGATCCTTTTTCTAATTCAATCTACAAGATGGAATTATAAATACAAACAGGTATGTGCTTTCCAAATACCATCATATTGCTTGCAATTTGACAAGAAAGGAAACGCCACTCAGCCTTCAAACACACCCATGCAGCAGAGTCCTGACTTCTTACACAAATGCCTCTGAAGTTAGCGACTGCCCAAGTGAGGCACTTTGTTAACTGAACCACAGGAGTGGAGACTGCCTGTAAAATGTGATTTATTTACCTCATCGCAGGCTGAACATCGAGGTTTGAGAAGTTCAGCGTGGTGTCTGCCACAGTGAATTTTTCCGTCTTGGTAGAAGTAGATGAGGTCAACGAGCAGCTCGTTACACGTGAAGCACACAAAACACGAGGGATGCCAGCACACACCAGGCCCAGCTCTCGAGGCAAAAACTGCGACTTCGCCGCCGTTTACTTTTGTACCACACTAGGAACAAAACCAGAAAGTGAACACACTTCCCGTCCCAAACTACTAGCTTCTGGCATTTAAACTAAGCTAAACCACCAAACCCAATAAGCAGGTTTTGTTCCACAATTCTGAGAAGAGGGGAAAAAAACATTCTCAATTTTGGTCTAGACAAACTCTGTGCATCAACAAACCTTTTGTGAATAGAAGTTTATTTCCTACGTAATAACATTTTTAAGCATATGCGCCTGTTTTCATTTGTATGAGTCAGCAACAGGGTTTTTTGAGTAGGAAATATATCAAAGATTCAGTTCATTCCCAGTATCAGCGGCTGCGTTTTGCTTAAGCAAGCAATACCTTCTTTCTATTGACACGCAGTTTCAGAAATAATCTTTTTTTTTTTTCTTCTGGTGTTCAGACATAGGCAGAGATAAGCTTACATTTAATATTGAGATCCTGCAGTTTTACATTACTGACCCGTGAGTGGGCTTGCGGCACCAGTGGTATTACCTGTTCACAAACCGCGTGCATCACCGCTCTCGAGAGCAGTTTGATAGTGCCTCGGCCAAGTGCCTCCTTTTTGCGCTGGGAACTGAACATCTGCAGTTCCTTCTTTTCTTCTTCACTTAAAGACTGGCAGTATCTCACCTTCCAGTGAAAACACAGGAGAACTTGTTTTAGATGCGGAGCTTTTAAAGTAACAGATTAATAAGTGCATATACACGAGAAATTCATCAGGCATGTTGGCAATCATCATTAAACTTTTCCAACTCGTCTTCTCAACTATCTTAATATTTAGCTGCTATGGCATAACCCAAAAGTAGCACGGAGAGAGATTTTTGCATTACAGGAGAAAAAAACCCACCATACTAAGCTACGAAGTTGTCTGGGCGAGAAATAACATTTTAAAAAGCCAAACCCAAACCGGCTGCTCTCCTAAACTACTGGAATGAACCTAAATCAGCCATAACATTGTCCTTTAGATTTATGGCTAAGTGCCCACAACTACGTATTGCAGTCTACACAAGATCTTAAGTATTGACACCCCCGCCCCCCTTCCTTACAAAGAGCTTGTTTGTTATTTCCACTTCTACTCCAAATTACACCGCATATCTGAGATGCAAACCTTTTACTATCACAAAGCATCCTTTCTGTGCGCTACAATGCAATTCCAGGAATTTGTAGGTTCCTGGTAATTGGTGGGTGGCTGCAAACACTATAAACCCAACTTGTGTTAGGTTTATGGCAGTGACACCAGCCTCCCGACAAGCAAAGGCAGCGTCCTCCAGACAGCTCTTGTCTGCAGGCCCGGCGGCCTCACGGCTCAGATGCCCCGGCAGGTCACCGGTGAGGCTGCTCATAAATACACAGGGAGGTAATTCTCCACGTCGAAGCCGCACGGGGAGACCTAAGCCCTGACGCTGCATCCTAAATTCCGTATTTACCTCATTATCGTGGGGTGGCAGCTGATAGAGGAGTTGTTTAATTCGGTGCTTCTCCCCAGGGCTGTTAACGTAAGGGACCTTCTCCTCCGGCAAGCAGGCGAAGTAGAGCTGGACCTGGGCAGAGAAGGCAGAGCTCAGAGCGGGGCACCCACCGCCCCACGCACCGCGGGCGCCCGCAGCTCCTCTTTGCCGCGGCGCTCCGTGACCGAGGAAGACGGTTACGCTACGTTAGACCTGCGACGGGGTTTGTGCTGAAAATACGAGACCCAGATGAGCCAGCTCAGCAAACCTGAATTGTCTCTGATAAAACTAGCACCCGGCTGCTGAATTGCTCTTCTGGAATGCAATTTGCAGTGACAATTAGGGGGGGTACCGTAAATTATGCACATTTAATGTTCTCATTATTCCCGCCCCCTTCGGGGCTGGTCAACAACCCTGTGGAAATTCCAAGTTTCCCTCTGCAATTTACCACACAAGGCACAGAAAACAGCCGCTAAATAAACAAATTTAATTTGCTCTCTGCCTTTGACACGTTGCTGAGACAAAAGCTGTTCTGTAGCCTCCTGCTGATCAGGTTCACCCAAAGCATCAGCTTTCATTGCTTCCATGTGGGCTTCGGGAAGAAGGTGGAAACATCCTTCCCCTGGGGGGAGGCTAGGTCCAGCCACATCTCAATCAGATGCAAATCAACCACAAAACTTCCACAGGCTTCATGGTTTTGATAAAGAAATCAATATTAAGTGTACACACCTATCAATCTTTTTTTTTTTTATTTTTCTGAGAAGAAAATTATGACAGGAAAGCTGTAATGAACACTATGACAAAGCCCAATGGCAAAAAATATTTTTGTGGAACAGCTAGATTTATTGTTTTTCCTATGCAGTTTCCAGCTTGTCACGAGGCCTGGGGCTGTAAATAAGAGCCGACTATTGGCAAAAATATTACTTGCCGTCCAGATTTAAATAATGCCTAGGTCAACAGCTTATTACTGTGCAAGACAGATGAAAAAGAGCAGTAATCAGTCACTTGGCTCAGGAAGCAATCAAAATTGTATGGGAAAGGTTGTACGAAACATGACGTGGTCTTCATTTACCCAAAATTCAAACATCAGAAGTCTACTGTAAGGCCACTTACTACTGACCGTATTTCAAGAAGCTGCAGGAAAAGATAACGTGCAGTAAGACGTGAAGCTTTAAAGATACTTCATGCCCTTTCCTCAAGTTTATTGCGCTGTTCTCAAAAGAAGTCATTCTTCTTGGGAAAAAATCTTTAGTGAGTTTGAGCTAACTGGATTATGAGGATATTTTAGGGCATTTAATTGCTCTGGGAGTATATTTGCTTGCTGTTTACCTTAAGGTCTGATTCATCAGGATTCTTATATACGCTTAAGTAAGTGATAAAAAGAGTTTCCCTTCCTCAAGTTTATTGCGCTGTTCTCAAAAGAAGTCATTCTTCTTGGGAAAAAATCTTTAGTGAGTTTGAGCTAACTGGATTATGAGGATATTTTAGGGCATTTAATTGCTCTGGGAGTATATTTGCTTGCTGTTTACCTTAAGGTCTGATTCATCAGGATTCTTATATACGCTTAAGTAAGTGATAAAAAGAGTTTCCCCAAAAATAGCCCATTATTTGCCATTCCTGCTGTTACTTTATTCATCATTAAGAAAATCTCTGCATAGCAAAACGGAGACATCTTCTGCACCGTCCTCGCTGTGGACCGCGTCGGCCTGCCAGCTGGAGGGGGGTTGCTCTGCCTCCGTTAGCAGGGGCTACGCAGCCACCCTGTCCCTTTACCGCCAAAGTCAGAGCTCTGGGTGTCACCCAGCAGACAGCTTCAGCACAGCTGCAATATCGTCACGTAAATGAGTACCACCAGAGGCTCCTTTTGATCTCCCATAGCAACTTGCTTATCAACAATTTCACTTTTATTTCCATTACCGTGATGTTATAAAAGATAAAGGAGGAAGGGGAGAGTGGAAGGAACAGCCCAACCAACCCACGAGCATCGGCTCCAGAGACCGTACAAGAGAAATCCTGGCAGGAACACAGTTATTTAAACAAGTGTAAAAGACGTTACTACTTGTCACAGTGACAGAACACTTTCGTTTACACACACTGAAGTAACGCACAGGTTCTAGATGGCGAGTGCCTCATTATTTAAAGAGCTGTACGAGTGCAGTGAAGTACTGGCCAAGTACCACTATGCCACGAGGTATGACGTGAGCTTTAACGTAACCTAATAACTTATCACAAAGAGAGAGCAAATTTCTATGCTGCTTTTAGACTTGACAGTGCATACCTCTGCGGCACATACTTACTGAAAAATCTTGACTGGGAACTGTTTTTAGAACACAAAAATCCTCCGTGTTGAGGATTTTAAGCTCCCTAAACGCAGCCTCATTGGAAGAGGAAATAAAACAAGAAGTGAATAGTTTGAGACAAATTTAAGTTTTATATATGATAAGGATTTAATTAGACTTGTAGAGGCAGCGTATCGCTCCCTCGGACAGTCCTTACAAGGCTTATTTTAAAAATGCAGAAGCACAGTTGGTACCTGCTCCGGTCTGAGGCCTGGGGGGACCCAGGCATATTCTTCCAAGGCACAGCCAGAGTCATCGTCTGATGTTGAGCTTCGCTGACACCCAAAAACAAGGTTATTGGCTTTGGGCTCCATCTCCAATGGCACAGGTGTGAAGCGTTAAATATTTCAGCTGCAGCTCATCAAGCAATTGATCTGGAGGAAGAGATTAACAGCACTTTAATATATCTGAACGTGCAACAACTGATTATCAGCGTAAATGATCTTATAACAGTTTAGTATTCCTTGTGTTGCCCAGAACAATAAATGATTGAAGCATCATTACAACTTGCTACAAGCAATTCAAAAGTACTTAAAAGAGTTACAAAAACAAAACTACTCAGGAAAAAGAAAACCAGACACGCACTACCGTGTTTGGCACCCTCAATGTATTTCACTATTAACACCCGTCATCTTTTACACTTCTGCTTGTTTCACGTCCCAGGCTATATGTAGGTACATCTAGGAAAGACTCGTTGAGCAGACAGTAACAAAAGGAACGAATGACAGGAGCTCTTCCTGAAGTCATTACTACCACCAATCTAGCAACACAAAAGACAAGACAAGGGCTTGTCAAAAACTAAAGAAATTGTCGGGGAAAGAGGATTGTGCAAGTAGCACCCTGTTTTTCACAAGGCAGGCACAGAGCCCTGAGCGTCCGCAGGATTCCTCCGAGAACTTTGGTTAGCTGTATTGGAGCAGAAGGGTGTCGGTCCAGTTAAATATCTGAAATCTCATTATGCCAGATTAGGCTCTGTAAAATACATCATGATTATTCTGTTAATTTAAAACCCTACAGGGAGATGCTTCTGTTGATTCACGAAGCCTGCAAAGCTTAGTATCAGCGAGATCATTCTGAGGCACAACTGGCAAAGGCGGCTCTCGCCAACATTCATAGCATTCTGCAGTAGAGAGCTCATTAAGATAAAATACCTTACATTAATTCTAGCAGAAGTTCTTAGGAAATTCAGACCAGGAATTTCAGTGAAATACAGATAACCAAAGGCAGAGAGGATGCATCTTACCGTGATAGACATCCTGATCACTGCGGTTAGAAACGAGCTTGCGTTTACAGTACACCACTACACACGAGCTGTGCCTTCCCCGGTTTAGGCAATTCTTTCACCTATTCATCTAAACACAGCTGCAACCTTGTCGGTGCTAGATCTGAGCTGTAGAAAATTTTAATCTCCTTGACATATAACCGTGTTGGTGGGTCTAAAGGGGAGAGCAATCTAAAAACGTCCGGTGGGTCCCACATTACATGTCCAGTCTCATCACCACCACGTTAGAGAAAGTAAGTCGCTGCTAGATCACAGGTGGAAGAAAGCTTTAAGACAGCGTACCCAAGGATTCTGGGAGTTACTCAACAGCAGTTTCTCCTCCTTCAAGCCTGAGGCACTGGTTAGTGCCAGGCTCTGTTGATTCAGCAGATAAACCCAAGCTGCTCCATAAAAAGTAGCCACATGCATCCCAAGCTACAAACTTGGAGAAACGATGACGTTCAGTATTACAGTGTCTTATCTACCCCCGTTTTCAGTATGTCCATACATTCCCACACCCGATAAAGAGAGACGGGATTACTTAACTCTTCCACTGGGCTAGTGCTCCAAAAAATTGCTTGTTAACTTTACTCCAAAAACTTCGGGTTCAAAAACATACGCACTGTATTTGGTGCACTGCTAAGATGCCAACACACTTCTACTACCCTGCATAGCTGCACTGTCATAAAAGATTCATTTACTATTCGATGGGGCAGCAAACCTGCCAACGTCCCCTTTGAGAACAGGCTATTTCTACAAAGCTTGTGAGCTCTCAGGCAAATTTCTGAAGCCAAACAACTGAAGGTTAGCAAAACAGCTTCCGAGCTTAACACCACTGCATTACAATCTCTCCCAAGGAAGGTAAGTAAAACCAAACTCAATCCTAAAAGCTCAATCCTATATATCTAAAATAGAAAGACAGACACCCTGGCACATACTCGATCCCTTGAATTAGTTTCCTTCAGAAACAGATGGAAAGACAAGTGATACAAAACTGTTTCCCCTCTCCATGTACTAGTGGAGATGAAGTCAAGCATCAGGTATGTCTTTGTTATTGCTTGTATAAAACTGGGGTGCGAGGAAGGCGGAACAGAGGAGCACTGTGATGCAGTTAAGAAATCATCCAGCAAAAAAGGCAACAGTGCTCACTGTTGCAGACGGACGGGGATGCTCAGGTTGGCAGCTTGTGTCCTGCACCATCTATACCCAAATAATTCTTAAGTATCAAATCTCTGAGTATGGTTGAGAAGCCCAAGTCCTTCCCAGATGATCTGTTTTACAATTTCCCTGCAGAAAGAGGCTAACGTGCCATTCACTGATGCCTAAGCTGGAATTTCCAGTCCTTAGGGCATTGCAACACGAGAACTTGTGTTGGTCAAACTGTCGCTTTTCAAGAGCTGACTCCTGCCCAGTAACCCATCAATGAAAGGAGTCACGAGGTAAAACATCTTTGCCAACGTCTCATTAGGCAGCCTGACCTCGACAGCACCCCAGGAAGCAGATCTGAAATGTAATTTATGATTTAGGCACAGAGACGGGCTCGACTCTGCCAGTCCCGGGGCACGGGGGCAGGGTGTACCCCGGCTCGCTCACACGTCCCCCAGCACTCACAAGCACACAGGTAATGGAGCAACTGCTTCACAGCGATTGTTCAAAAACCTCTCTCCGTATAATCAAAGATGAACTTCTCTGACTTACTTTCTTCCCGTGAAAGACAAGGAAACAACCCAAAATCTGACCGCATGAAGACTTGTTAACCTCTCCGAGGATTCTGAACACTAAGGCTACCTGCGACTTGCACGCGGCAAAACGCAGCACGAGGCAACGCTGGCATTTCAACCATAGCAGAGGTACGTGAGCGCAGGGGCGCCGCCGAATTCCAAAGGAAGAGGAGGCGTTGGTACGGAGGGACCACGCTGCTTTTCCACGGCGCCTGACCCTGCCCGTGTCACCTCTGACCCATCCATTCCAGACAGCACACGCTCCAGCAGGACAGCCACAGACCCACAGGCCCGCTTCCCGGTGAGACGGGGCAGGTTGAAAGTGTGGCTGGCAGAGAACAAAGGAAAAACGCACCTTACCTCCAACTGTAAAAGGCGCTTTACAGTCAGGGTGCTCCTCCCCAGATAAGGCGACTGGAGACGTTTAAAGCGAGGTTCATAAATGTCAATGAACCGAGATGACTCAAAGGACAGCATTCCCTTTAAAAGAAAAACGCCACCACAGCGCTAACGTTAAGCCAGCTATAAAACGCCCGCCAGCACACCATCTATCGATACGGCCGTGTCACAAATACTGCGGTGGTGCCGAGAGTGAGGTTTCTAAACCGGCCCGGCTTAACAGCAGGCCGCCTGCAGAACTATTTTAGCAATTGCTTGTTTAGGAGTCCTCCTTCCTCTCCCGCTCGAGCGTAATTTAGTTTGCATTTTAAAACGACAGGGTTCTTCCTCCCCGCCCCCCCACCGCACTCATCCTTCAAAGTGATCTGTTTAAAATGATTACATCCTAAGGAGGATTCAAATGAATATAAACAACAGCTGAAAAAATAATTGCCTTCCGAGGGATGAGTAGAAAGGTGGTCTTTCTAGTCCTGCCACGACATCTACAAAACACAGCAAGGACGTTTTGTTTTGCTTGCTTAAAGTCCGTGGAACTTTTTGAGATTTCAGCTCTGTTCAAATACTGCCTCTCAAAAAAAGCTTCACAGCCTGCAAGGAGGTATTTCACTGGCAGTTTGACGACCATGAATAGCATAATTGAATTAAACAGCTAAACTTGATTTAAAAAGAAAAGCAATTAATACGTTTTTTCCACTGATGTATTAAAAGGACCGTATTGTGACCAAGCCCTTAGAAGCGAAGACCAACGACACTCCTAACTACCGACCCAAGGCACACGACGTGCGGGGGTGTCAGCCTTAGAGCCAAGCTACCCCTGCCGCCCTGCCAAGGTTATCCCCCTGCTAGGATTTCCAGCTCACTGATTATGTTCCCCCCTGACCAGATAGAAGAGGTCAGGACTTGTGAGCACAGTTAGACAAACAACTCCTTGCCCATCCCCTGCTGTTTTACTCTGTCCTGCAGGGCAAATTGTTTTAACAACTTTTTTGTTAGAAGGCTTGTTAACAAGGCTATAGGGGATACAAGATGCATATCACATGCATCCATTCACAATGAAGGCTCAACGAGTTAAGATTAGCATGGCCAGCCCATTCACCTGCTCATTTAATCCCTGGTGCATGATAACCACATCAGAAGAGGAAGGGCGTAATACAGCAGCAATAAACCACCATAAAATAACTATTCATAATTTAAAGACTATTTCCAATACGTATCACGGCAATGACCAGAAAGGCCCGTTCCCTAGCTACAGTACAAGTAAGGTGTTTGCTGACAGCTCTGTACTTGGGCAATCTGGACCCAGCGCCGAGGAGCAGAATGCGGATCAGCCCCAGCACACAGCGACGGGTCCTTTGGGTGACGAAGCACCCGGAGCAGGGGGGAAGGAATGCAGCCTGGGTGCTTGTTCATCCCACGGGCCTTTAGATGGACCCTCCAAGCAGGAACTTTTTTCCCTTTTCTGAGGCAGCGTACAAGGGCCGACGGAAGAGTTAACTGCTCTCCTCCTCCAGCGTCCTAGCGCAAAGATCGCTTTTCCAACTGGAAGCTGGACGATCCTCTTCTCAGGGCGATTTCTTCCGACGAGCCATGCTGCAAAGACAGGCTACCTGCGGTAACAAGAGGAGGAAGGACCGTGACGAAGCATCGCCCCGCGCCAACACCTCTGATCTGGATGGATGTGATGCTCGGCGCTGCGCAGCGCTGACGGAAAGCCAAGCGCACGCTGCAGTCCGGCAAGAACCAGCGCTCCGGCCGAGGAAGCGGCATTCTCACGGATGCTTCCCCCCTCGCTCCTTAAGACAGTGTACAGATTTAGAAAGAAAGAGATCTTGCCTTTTACAGTGTCCCATTGATTTTTTTTTAAATTCTATTTTAAACAGCAGCCAGACTTTACTCCAATGTACACATATACTCAGGTTTCACCCCGTCACCTGTTGGC